TTTAATATTTCCTCTAGGGATGTTACCACACAGAGTAAAAGGGGGAAATGATGGTGTGAAACAGCAGAGGCACTTTGTCAACCCGCTGAGTTAACGTTACTGTCATTAGCATCAAGCTAGCAAACAATGGTACATCCTCACGGTCGGACATAAAGTAATAACATTAACAAATAGTGGCTTTTACTCACCACAACTGAGGCTACCAGCTTCATTTGAAACAGACTACATTATAGATGGTCCGTTATTTATTAATCCCTCTGTGTTTTTATATATTTACTTTTTATCCGCTCCCGTTGTCTTTATAAAGTTAACATGTCGCGTCATCATTTCAAACTCAACACTTCCTGAATTTCTTTGAAATTAAAAGCCCCTTATAACCTTGGCTAGAGAATCCCTCCATTTTCTAAATAGACTTTTATTCTGAAACATTTGTATGAACTTGTTGTGGCGGATACGGTAGCTTGAATGTTTATGTACGGTGCTTCAAATGTAGCTCCTGCCATCTGCTGACGCTTTTAGGTGACTACAACAATATTTCGGCTGGGACATGAACAGACACAGTGACTCAGATGATAGTAAAAGTAATAAAAATAGGACAAGAATAACCTGGTGACATCACACATGTTGTGAAAGAAGACTGGGGATAATTAGTGAGTACCATGGTGTAGTGTGTCATGTCTTTCGGCCAAGTCACGGCACGATATTATGACTCCATAATGGTGTAATGTGACATAGTGACTTTCAGAACGGGCAGAAAAGTCGTGTAGTGTGTACCAGGCATAATGCAAGTGCTGAGTCTGACCTGTCTGTCAGCAAGTCCTCCTCCACCTTTTTTTAGACTCCACCATAGACAGTGGCAGCATTTCTTCTCCCCGTAGCAAGCCACAAGTTTCGTGGCTTCTTTCGGACTGATAGGTTTAACGTTATCTCTGTTATTAAAACCAAAAGACAGTCGTTACTGTTTTGAAGCTGAAGGACCAGCATTCTAAAAGTAACGAAAGTAACTGATGGCTTGTTTGAAAATGTACTCAAGTATCTGATTATTCAATCAGCAAACTAATGCGTTAGGTTACTCATTACTGCACTCGTTACTTTGTAATGCGTTATACCCAACTCTGTCCTCTACTGAACCAGCCAAGGTGTTCTCTCCATGGCAGGGAAATAACAGCAGGTTAGACCCACCAAGAGCTGAGATGGAAAAATACTGGAAGGGCACATGGGACAGGGAAGCATCACACAACACAGATGCCCAATGGCTAGTGGACCTAAGAGTAGTGATGGCCGAATGAAGCCTTATGAAGCATTTCGTTTATTTTCTGAGCCCACTAGATGGCGCTTTTTGTTCAACAAAAGGTTTAAAATACACTGAATTGCCATTCTTTGAGCCTCTCTCTTTAAACCAAGAGCGCCATCTAGTGGGCTCAGAAAATAAACAAAATGCTTTATGAGGCTTCATGAGGCCATCACTACCTAAGAGTTGGCCACAGAACTCTCCCTGAACAGGAATCAGTAACCCCCTCAATGGCAGACATCCAGGAAAAAGTGTCAAAGATGAAGAGCTGGACAGCACCAGGCCCTGATATGATCCATACCTACTGGCTGAAGAAGCTAACTGCACTCCATGAACACCTAGCAGCATGGATGGCCCAGGTGCTAAGGGATGGGACACATCCAGAAGGGCGCGGTCCCATCCAACTACAGACAGATAACCTGCACAACATCGAAGCTCCTGTCAGGCATCAAAGCAGCTAAGATAACAAGGCATATGAGCCAATTCGTGAGCAAGGCACAGAAAGGAATTGGCGGTAACACCAGAGGAGCCAAGCACCAGCTACTGGTCGACAGAGACCTGAGACTGCAAGAGCAGGACAACCAACCTGTGCACCGCCTGGATTGACTCCAAGAAAGCCTACGTCTCAATGCCACACACATGGATATCAGAATGTCTGGAACTATACAAGATCAACAGAACACTAACAGCCTTCATGAAAGACTCCATGGGAATGTGGAAGACGACCCTAGAGGCCAACTCAAAGCCGATTGCCCAAGTCAACATTAAATGCGCCATATACCAAGGGGATGCACTGTCACCACTGCTGTTCTGCGTAGGCTGAAATCCCCTCAGTCAGATCATCAAGAAGACTGGCAATGGATACCATTTCAGAAGTGGGGTAATAATCAGTCACCTGCTCTACATGGATGACATCAAGCTGTACGCCAAGAATAAGCAAGAATTTGACTCACTGATCCACACCACCAGGATCTACAACAAGGATATAGGGATGTCATTTGGATTAGACAAGTGTGGTTGGATGGTATCAAAGAGAGGTAAGATGATCAGAACTGAGGGAGTTGACCTACCAGAGGGCAACATAGGAGATATCCAGGACAGTTACGAGTACCTTGGGATCCTGCAGGCTAATGGAAATCATGAGAGGGCCACAACGAAGTCGACCACAACCAAATACCTCCAGAGAGTAAGTCAAGTCTTAAGTAGATAGCTGAATGGTCAGACCAAGGTCAGAGCCATCAACATGTATGCACTGCCAGTCATCAGGTACCCAGCTGGGATCATAAGCTGGCCAAAGGGGAAGATAGAAGCCACAGATATGCAGACAAGACAGCTCCTCAGCATGCATGGAGGGTTCCGCCAAAGTCCAGCACCCTGAGTCTATACACTAAGTGGAAATAGTAGGGACTACTATTATTTCAATCATTATGGCCCAGCTGAACTGTTATTGTTGTAACATTAAAAGTTTTGCGAGATGGGAGGAGCTACATTTGAAGTACCGCATGAAAACTATGCAAGTCACTAAATCCTCTACAACAAATTCCTACAAATGTTTCACAATAAAAGCTTTTTACAAAATAACGGTATGCTCTCATCTGAAATGATAAGGGGCTTTTAATTTTACACAGATACAGTTTTCAGCTTTCAGTCTTTCTGTCTTGTCTTGTCATGATATCATCATGTTTTCTTGTCTGTGTTGCTTTGTGAATACAACAGCAATTCCAAGTTTGGATGCTGTGTAAAATGTAAATAAAAACAGACTGATTTTTATTGTTCAGAATGACAAATTTTACTGTTTGTGTAAATATACACTCATTCTAAATTTTGTATTGTGTAACATGTTCCAAAAACAGACACAGATGTATGTTTGCCACTTTGTTACATCAGTTTTTATTTTACTTTCTTTTTTTTTTTACCAACACTGGTGTTTGGAAACTGAGGACACTAATTGTTGAAGTTTTAAAAGTGAAATTATTTCCTATTCATGCTTGATATATGACTTAAGTTGCTCAACAGTCCAGGGTCTCTTCTTAAAGATCTTTTGTATTTTGTGCTTTATAATGTTCCACACATGTTTAATAGGAGACGTGTAGACTGGCAGGCAGGTCAGTCTAGTACCTGCATTATTTTATTACGAAGCCACACTGTTGGAACACGTGCAGAATGTGTCTCTTTGCCCTGCTGGAATAAGCGGGGATGACCCTGAATAAGACATCATCTAGAGGACAGCATATGTTGTTCCAAAACCTTTTTTGTACCTTTCAGCATTTATGGTGCCTTCACAGATGTGCAAGTTACCCATGATGCCATGGGCACTAACCCACCTCCATACCATCACAGATGCTGGTTTTGAACTTTGAGCTATTAACAATCTGGACGGTCCTTTTCCTCTTTAGCCTGGAGGACATGACGTCCATGATGGACTTGTCAGACCACAGCACACTTTTCTGCTTTGTGTCAGTCCATCTCAGATGAGCTCAGGCTCAGAGAAGTCAATGGTGTTTCTGGATGTTGTTGATATCCGGCTATTACTTTGCATGGTAGAGTCTCAACTGTCATTTGTAAATGCAGTGATAAACTGTGTTTACTGACAATGGTTTTCCAACATGTTCCTGAGCCCATGTAGTAATAATAATACGTTTTTAATGCAGTGTGCAGTCTGAGGAGTCAAAGGGCACACCTATTCTATATTGGTTTTCATCCTTGACCCTTATGTGCAGAGGTTTGGGGTTGCAGTTGTGTGTTGTGAAATGCTTATTTCAGTAGATATCTCTGCGGAACAATACACAGACTAAATTGGTATAACATCAACATTGTATATTACATTTTTGACAGGGGACAGGATTACATTTTTGACAGGGGACAGGGGATTTTGACATGGTTGACACATGGTTTTGACACAGAAGCAGCTTGAGCACAAGGAGAAGAGCTGAAGCTGGAGCAGTAAATCTGTGCAAGTAACATTGCATCTGAGTGCGAGGATACAATTTGAGCAGAAACAGAGTAGATCTAAGCGCAAGCAGAGGCTATTTGAGTGTGAGGGCGGGGTTTTGAAGGACAATGTTACAAAATCTGAACGTGAAATCAATAAATAATGCTCTCAAATTGATATACCATTCTCTTGACTAAAGATAGGAAAAAAGCTCCATATCCCAAAGCAACTAGGAGTGAGGACTGCACTGGTGCCGACTTACTGACCATGTGCAATGCAAAGCTATGTTTGTCATGGAAGACGCTCTGTACAAAAAAAGTCCCACTCGACTACCCCGAGGGATATTAACTGTTCAAACTAAGATAGACATTTAATATTGTCATACAGATGTTAACATCTTAAGTGTTACGATAGTCGTGTTTATTTTCTTAGTAAAGTGTAACAGAAACTGTTGCAAAAACTGAGCAGCTCATATATATTAGAGTGAAAAACAAGAAAAAGTAAAAGACGAGAAATGTCACCGGTGAATCTCAGGAATACGTTGTTTTTCCTTTGATGTATTATTTATTTATTTGTTTGTTTATTTAATTCCGTATTTATCAATTTATTTAATATTTTAATGGCAAGAGGATAATATATACCATCACACTTATGGTAAACAGCAGCACAAATCAAATAAAAGTGATACAAATACATACAGAAAACATAAAATGGGAGTCATTTTATTTTTCTTTATATTTCTCTTTTGCCTTTTTCTTCTTTTGTGTGTATAAACAGGGCAGCGAGTCACAGGGAGCACTATGGGTAATGTAGTCCACAGGGTGAACGTGGCTCTGGGGGAGCGTGGAGACAGACTGACTCATGCTGAGGACAAGACTGTGGAGCTGTTACACAGAGCCCAGCAGTTTGCAGACACTGCTCACAAGGTGAAATAAACATACGGCTATTTCTACAAGACAGACTTACCTTACAAGTCAAAAAAACACATACATACACACACACACACACACACACACACACACACACATATATATATATATATATATATATATATACATATACATATGTATGCTTAGTAAAGATTATAAGGTTCAGCTTTGGATATGTATTTGTATCAGGTTTTTTTTTTTTTTCCTCTTTGCAACAAATGTATTTGCGTTTTGTTTCCCCTGCAGCTGGCCCTGAAGTATTCAAAGTAGAGTCTGTTGGAGGATGAATGGAATTCTTCAGGTTGCTTAAGATGAATCCTGTAACATAAATACTAACACTGTCTGATGCAGTCTGGACTGAGCAGATGCAGCTCACCCCTCACACTCCTGTGTAACTGAGTGCAGCAGAGATAACTAAATACTCTTCAAATAATCTTTGCTCTTCTTGCTTAAGACTAGTGATGGCCTCATGAAGCCTCATGAATCATTTTGTTTATTTTCGGAGCCCACTAGATGGCGCTTTTTGTTCAACATAAGGTTTAAAGCACACTGAATTGCCATTCTTTGAGCCTCTCTCTTTAAACCAATAGCGCCATCTAGTGGGCTCAGAAAATAAAGAAAATGCTTCACGAGGCTCCATTCGGCCATCACTACTTAGGACACCTCTGTCCCATGGTCTGAGGATCATGTACACAGTGTTGACTTTGATGTTTTGACTGAGATCAGACAAACCTCCTGTCCTTTCTGAGAAAAAGAAGGCTGGACTTGTAGATTTAAGCTGCAATTATTTAACATTGTTTTTATGTGCTGTTCTAAACACCCCTGACATGCATTTCCTGTGAGAGACACTGAATTGTTTTACCCATCACTTAGTTCATTGTTTAAGAAGATGAATGCATAACCTAGAATCTGTGTGACGGGTAGTACTGCTCAGGGTGAATGTTTTTTTTTTTTTTGTATTTTTTAATGTGCCTGCACATGGTTTGGAGTTTATTGGATTTGATTGCACTAAATGTTTGATTTGATGTTGCTCACCACTTGTGTCATTCATTTATCATCATCATGCTGTGTTCCAAATATGTGTGTGTATGTGTGTGTGTGTGTGTGTGTGTGTGTGTCTGTCTGTCTATCTGTCTGTCTGTCTGTCCAAAAGTTTAGTGTCATGTTGTCAAAACTGTGTGGTATCTCTGGTGTCCTCATCAAACTGTCACTTTATATTTAGTCTGCTGTGCTGTGTCGTCTGTTCAGTGTGTGTCATTGTGTGCTTTAAGTTTGTGTCTTAGTCTTTGTGTCTTTGAAAGTTGAGTTAAGGTGGGTCAGGTGGCTCAGATAAATTGAAAGATTTTTCATAAAGGGCTGTTCCACAGTGAGCATTGTGAATGATGCTGGTCAGTGTAGAAAAGTTGGGGTGACTTTAGAAGGTTGAAATGTTGACTTCAGTTGAAGCCCTTCATGTATGCATCACCTCTTTCAGTAATTTGGTGTAGTGGTGATTTTAACAGTGGGTGGAGTGTTTGTTCTTTTAATAAATTTAATCAAATTTGGAGTACTTTTAAACATTATGGGTCTCGATGGCCTCATGAAGCCTCATGAAGCAATATCTTTATTTTCTGAGCCCACTAGATGGCGCTGGTTTTAAAGAGAGAGGCTCAAGAATGGCAATTCAGTGTGTTTTATAGCTTTTGTTGAACAAAAGGTGCCATCTAGTATGCTCAGAAAATAAAGTAAATGCTTCATGAGGCTTCATGAGGCCATCACTACTTATGGGAACAGAGGGAAATTATTTCAACTAAGCTTTTCTTTTATGCTTTGTTTACTGCTTTTGGCTATGGTTTAATGTGTGTCTGATGTAATAACTTAGTGATGATGTTTTCTCTCTTTGAACGCATTAAATAATCCTGGACCTGTACACCGAGCTTTGTTTTTTTTTTACATTCAGGAGATCAGCTGTTTAGCTTTTATCAACCAGATGGCACTCACAGAGCAAAGGAGACCCAACTCAGCACCATAGCAGTTGACACAAACACAATTGAACTGTAACTGATGAAATTTCAAATATTTATTTATTTATTTAATTGTTTGGATCCCCATCAGCCACTATCAAGGTAGCAACGCTTCTTCCTGGGTCCAAACAAGCAAACATTACATTACAATGTAAAACAAATATATAAAATTACAGATCCATGGTAAAAAGGAACAAGGAAAACTACAAAAATAGTAATAAAAAACAAACCAACAAACAAAACAAAAAAACCTAAATTGTCAGAAAAAAAGAATGGGTTCCAAGTTAGTAGTAGTAGTACTACTAAAATAGCATATAATAATAATAATAATAATAATAATAATAATAATGTTATTTATCTAGCACAATTCATGCATAAAATGCAACACAAAGTGCTGGACATAAAAGATATTTAAAACATTAATGAGAGAAAAAAGATAAAAACATAATAATAATAATAATAATAATAATAATAATAATAATAATAATAATAATAATAATAATGATAATAATAATGTCTTTTATTTCTGAAACCAGAACAATAAAGATGTCTGAGTCAGAGGATGTTAGGGACCTAGCAGGCACATATATCTTGACTATGTCAGACGGAGAAAATTGAACAAGGCCATTCAGTGATTTAAAAACCAATAAAAGACGTTCAAAATTAATTCTGTGGCAGGCAGGTAACCAGTGTAATGATTTAAAGATTAGAGTAATGCATATGATTATATGATTGTATAATGTGTGTGACTGAAAGAATGAAAAGACCAGGAAAGTTTCACATTAAGGTTGATACAGTCAGATATTATGTAACAAATCCTATCTATTTGAAACAGATTTGTGAATGTGAAATTTAAACTAAATTGAAATTGAAACTAAATAGATGTTATTAAGCCAATAAATGTCAGATTCTGACACATAAACATAGAAGTTGCCAGCTGACAAAGGAACACACAGGACTAGCCCTAGAGTCAGATTAAACAGGAAATGGAGTAGTGCATTTTTCAGATATATTTATATATACAAGACCTCGGCTGGACATGGAGACAAGAAAAAGTTTTCAAGGTTCATTTCATAGTTTTCCATAATATGCCTTTAGAGTATACAGCTGGAGACTACTAATTATTATCATTTGCCATTATTTCAAATATTGTATTTGAGATGCCATCTGAGGGTCTCCAGTATGACACTCTGGGGCCTAAAGATGACATTTATTTTATCATCAGGTGAATGAAGCCTTGCATACTTCTTCCAGCTTGGTAGCAATGTAATGTGGAGAAAGAAAAAGGTAATTGTAACTGACCCTTTAGTAAGCCCCGCCTCTTTGTAATGGTCAGTCAAGTTGTTGGAGCATGCAGCCCACACTGTTACTAACTGCACTTTCTGAAGAAATATTATCACCTTTTTGGAAAAATGAAAAGAGAAGCAGACAGGAAGGTCCACAATATATGTTTGAATGCCAAACTCACTCAGAAGCAAAAAAAGGTTTTAAAGATAGTTAGAAGCTAAATACTAAGGGTTCTTTCACACCTGTAGTTGGGTTCGTTTGGTTGCACCAGAGGGAAAAACTGATCCATTGTAGCATTTTAGTTTTGGTTTGGTTTCTGTTCACACTGACTTTTTGCGAATGAACCAAGAGAGGTAAAGATGAAGTTCTACCAACAGCTAACTGGTTGATTGGACAGTTTTGGTGTTTGTCTTCCTACATCATCAGGATCCACGTGGGGAAATAAGATTCTGGTGACTGACAGAGGTTTCTGCAGCAGCACTTTGATGCTTTTAAATGTTCATATTTCTGATCTTTGGTTTCACAAAGTGCTCATAGAGAAATGACTGATTGTTAACATTATAAGGAGGCTCAAATTAGACTGCAAATTAATGGCATGTTCTGAATAATCACTAAGAAAGGATGAAAAGAAAGCGTTTTGTGCAGTAATGACTTGGGGCGTAATACTGTGGGATCACTATCACTCACAATTTGATTTAATTTTTTTTGTAAGAACTAATATGCACACAGCAGAAAAAAGGTGACTTTAATCACTGTAATAGCTTAAGCTGTAATTTCTTCCCAGAATCTTTTAGAAACCAGTGTCTTATATGAGGGACAACACAGTTTGATTTAAGTTTTTTTGTGTTTGTGTAAGAGTATAGTGGTGTATGTATAAGAGTATGACTGTGCATGTAAGAGAGTATAGTAGTGTTTGTGTAAGAGTATAGTAAGAGACAAAAAAGAGTGAAAAAATTGAATCGGAATTAATAAAAGTATATATATATATATATATATATATATATACTTGGCAAAATCACGTTGTGCGGTGGATACCAGGGGTAAGGGGCTGAGTGGCCAGGAGGCTGCTGGGACACCACGGAAGCATCAAGCTGCCACCTCCAGAAGTTCTCTGATGATACAGCCATTGTTGGATGTGTGTCACCTAAACAATAAACTGGATTGGTCCACTAACATTGACGTCCTGTACAAGAAAGGTCAAAGTCGTCTCCACCTGCTGAGGAGACTGAGGTCCTTTGGAGTGTGCATGACACTGCTAAGGACTTTCTATGACACTGTGGTAGCCTCTGTCATCCTCTAGGCAGTTGTCTGCTGGAGCTGTGGAAACACGGATGGAAAAGACTGAACAAGGTGGTCAGAAGGACCGGCTCAGTCCTGGACTGTCGCCTGGAGACCATTGAGGAGGTGGGCGAGAGGAAGATGTTAGCCAAGCTGATATCCATCATGGACAACACCTCTCACTCCCTGCATGAGACTGTCCATGCACTGAGCAGCTCATTCAGCAGCAGACTGCTGCACCCACAGTGCAAGAAGGAGCGCTACCACAGGTCATTCATCCCATCAGCTGTCAGACTCTTTAACAGCAACATCTGATGTAATGTAGCACTGCAGCATGTCTGCTGCATAACACTGTATAAATCATCACTGCTAAGACTCTGTGCAATTTACATACTCTGTGCAATATTCCACATCTATAAATATATTGTGTATATATTGTAAATAGTTTTGTGTGTACAGTTAATTCACTTTAGTGCCCTACTTTTTTATATATTTTCTATTTATTTTTAATCCAGGAAGATATGTATATATCTATATATAGATAAACACATACTGTATACATATTTTGCGTATAGACCAATAGCTTTTAATCTCACATCAGCAATGCAAACATCTCTACTTTTGACTAAATTCTCAGGATTACAATACGTAATTTAATACTGTGTGGTCAAAGTTTTGCTAAAAATGTTAAATGTGTAAGCTACTGTGTTGAGTTGCCTCTTAGTGAAATGCTCTGAGTGAAAAATTCCCTCTGGTAATGCAGTGTATCTGTCTAAGGCTTTTATTGTGAAACATAAGGACAGAAAAAGGGAAGCTGTATTACCCTGCATTTGAAAATGTGGGGAGCAATGCAGAGTTTTTCACTCCAGCTGAGGGTTATGAGTTGTGCCTCTACTCAGGAACCAATACATATGTAATAAAATACTGACACAGAGGCTCTGTAATCTGAA